GTCTTCTCATTTAAGTTGTCCCCTTATACACAACTTTAGTTGAAGTCTCCATGGACTTGCTTGCTTCATTCTTCAGTCTCAGAGCTTCTTTGAACACAAGGATATATCTAAGATTTCTGGTTATGAAACTAGCCATTCATTGGGATGGTAACGATGAAGATGCATGGGTGCAGGTGCTGGGGATTGTGGGAGAAGTGACTCAGTCAATTGGGTTACAGTTGTAGCTCATTTAATCTATTATTCTCTTAGGTGAGGCTTACTGACCCCATTCAGAATGAGTAAGCCTTCATCCTGTTGTAGACTCTTAGAAGCTTCATCATCATGAATGTTTAATTCAGCATCAGCATTTGTGATTCACTGTTTTTCCTCTTCACTCCTCTCCCACTGAGCTGGAGTATCTCTGAGTGCAGGGCCTGTAGGAGTGTTTATTCACTGTTTTACTCCCAGTGCAAGCACAGGGGGATAGATTAGGTGTTCAGCAAATATATGTTCAATGCATAAATACACTAATCCTAATTTCTTCATTTTATCCTGCCTATTTCAAAGTGCTTGCTCATTGACTCACACCCACTCTGCCAGACAAAAAACCACAGTTCTGTTGTAGCCAGGAGTTCCTGTGGTGTCCAGATGAGACATAAATATGCCAGAATAATCCTGCAAAAAAAGAACCTGGCATAGACATAAGTATTCCTTGTAATGAGGATTATTATAAAATCCCAAGAATACAAGGGAAAATAATCTAAGATGAGTATCCAAAATCAACAGAATTTTTCATGGAGACATTATTTTAGGGAGAAGGACTCTTCTTTATCTTACATATTTACTATAAGCCAGAGACTTTGCTGGCACTAAAAATAGATCCCTATATGCAAAGAGATCACAAATACACTAGAATTCTTATGTGCTATTATAAGTGCAACAATGGATGAATTCAAAGAGATCTATAATAACAGTTAGATGAGAGACCTAACTTAGCCCAGGAAAGCTACCTGCAGATATTATTGTTTATGTTATTATTAGGTGTAAAATGTGTGGGTGTTGGGAAAAGAAGACTATGCCAGCCAGAAGGACAAATTGGGAATAAAGGTAGTTAAACCAACAGCATATTCTAGACCAGAAGCAGAAAACTATACACTTTCTGCTTTGTTTTTAAGGCAGAGTCGCTTCATGTTATGCTGCTCCTGCCTCACCCTCCCAGCTGGGACTATAGGCTCATGCCACCACACCCAATTCCTTTTTAGACAGTGTTTCTCAGGCCAGTCTAGATCTCTTGCACCTCTTTCTACAACCTGCCCAAATCACTGGGAATACAGGCACACACTATTGCACCTGGCCATTAGGTTACACCAAGAGTCAAACTTGAGCCTCCAACAAAGTTTCAGCCTGTGTAGTCTTAACAGCCCGTACCACTACATCTGGATCTGGACTGTATTCACAAGGCAGCCAATAGCCTTTGAAGTCTCTTAAGCAGGAAAGTGAACTAGTCACACTTCTTTTCCCACTTGGGACAATACGCTGTATCTGCTGAAGTAGTATAATGCATGGGTTGAGGGTTATGACTCTCAAACCAACTGGCATGAATTTGAATCTTTGCCCTGAAATTTTCTTAGTAACTTAGGTAAGTTACTTAGCCTCTCTATAAAGAAAAAGTGGCTCCCCCTTATGAAGCTATGCTAATGAATGAATGTGTGTGTGTGTGTCTATATTTTTTTCAATAAAGTCTTTAAAAAGTTCATGGAAAATATGTATTATGGAAAAATTATGCATGGATTTCAAATTTTTTGCAATAAAATAAACTTGTATTTAATTCCATTTATCCATGATTTTTTTGAAGTACCCTCACATACGTGCATGCATGTATGTGTATTTTCATTTAGAATAGTATAAACTAGTAACAAATACCATGTAAGTATTCGTTACTATTGTTTTTTGTCAATCAAAGGAAATTTCAAAGACATCTTTTACCTTATCAAGCTTCTTTACATCCACACTGTGCCCATAAGGGGGTGACCTAATGGTTATTTCCATGGTCTACTGAGTAAGAACTGTTGGGCTTAACTGAAAGTATTATTACTTTTATTATTATTATTATTATTTTAGAGAGATTTTTGCTATAAAGCACGTGTACTTGCCAGAAAGACAGAGAGACAGGTGAGAAATCACTCCTCAGGGAGAATGGCCAAACCACAATCCCTTCTCCTCCATTCCCTTCTCTGAATTTTGGGCATTTACGCCCACAGGCCCAGCATGAGTTTTAAGCCAGGTCTGGGACTTGAACAATAGTCGACTACATGGGAGTCCAGTGACGTCCTCTCCAGGACCTCAGGCCGTAAGATGTCTAAAGGCAGTTGGTCTTTTTCAATAGTAAGAACTTACATGAAGATAATCTTATTTCATCACAAATCCATAGGATGAAGTCCCACTCAGCAACTTATACCTTTAATATCTGGTTTTCTTGTAAAATGTATTGAGTTTTTTAAAATCTGATAGATATGTTGGTCTTTATTTTTTATAGGAGAGATTTTTTAGAAGTAGAAATTATTATTATTTTTAAAAATTCTATGTATTTTCAGAGCCTAGCACAGTGCTAAGCACACCACAGGTAATTTATACACAGTCATCAAATAAGTAACTTTGAAAGTGTCTTAAATAAAACAACTAGCATTTATTTTAAAATTACTACTTATCAAACTATTAATTACTACTTCTAATCATAACTTTATGCCATTTTTATATGTTATATAGAATACACAGGCTATTTCAATTTGAATTCTCCCTTTGTTCATTTTATCATATTTTCTATTTTATTTTTTTTTTAATCTCCTGGTGGGCCAGTAGGTGGTGTAGAGTTTAAGGTGCTGAATTCCACTTGGCCAACTGACCATTATTATCATTGTTACTTTAGAGAGATTTTTTTTTTTTTTTTTTTTTTTTTTTGTTTTTTTTTTTTTTTTTTTTTTTTTTTTGCTATAGGGTACATGCACTCTCCAGAGAGACAGAGAGACCAGGACTGGGCAGGTTGAAAACACACCCAGTACATGTGTGTACATGCCCCAAATACCAGACAGAGAATAGAGGAGAAGGGATTGGGGAGTGGCCATCCCCTGGTGTTGGTGGTGGGAAGGGACTTCTCACTTTCCCTCTCTCTGAGTCTCTGTCTCTTTTTGGCAAGCAAAGGCATGTGTCCTATAACAAAAGAAAAATAACAAAAACTAAATGAACAAAAAAATCTCTTGATAGCATCTTTGAAAAACTCACAATATTTCCTATGAGTGTCTTAGAGGTCTACGTAGTTTCAAAAATTTGAATTACAGATTCCAACAAAATTTGATGACTAGACATGATACATATAAGTTATTTTAAAAGGCTCTAAATGATTAAATTTACCATTATTATTTAATAGACAACATCCTGTTGTCTCTCCAAATGGAAAAGATTATAGAGGTCTATTAAATGTCTGTTACAGACAAAAATCTACTCATCCCAAATTGAACATTTTGTAATCTGCAGCACTTGTTTGATAGTAAATTGGGATTGTTCTAAATTCTACCAAGTAAGTTAGATTTTAGTTAAAATAAATGTACCTATATATTTTTTAAAATTCTGTGACTTTTACAAACACAGTGGAAGCAAAGATTTGACTAATACAGAATAGATATAAATTCATTAGCTTGTGTTCTTTCCAGTGTCTCCTCATCTTGTGTCAACAACAGTTTTAACAAAACAGGTTCAGATAGCAGGTGTCAAGTACTATTTTTAACTTGAATTGTATTATATAATTAGTAAGATAATTAAACTCAATTTAGCTCTGAAGTCATGTTTGTTGTCTTGAAACAGTTTTATTACAGATGAAAAGTAACTGAAAGGTTAGTTTTGTAATACTAAGCTAATATCCCAAATATACAGATGACTCTGACTGCCAAATGAATAATCAACCTGCCCAGGCCTTTTGTTTGTTTGTTTTTGGTTTTGTTTTTGTTTTTGTTGTTTGCTTGGTCTGCTTCAATTTATGGTCCTTTTGAAAGTCTTCTTTAATAATACCCCAATAAGCTTGTCTTTTTACTTTACTTCAATTGATAACTGCTCAAACTTTAAATCAAAATTAATTTGAAAAATAGGCTTTTCATAGCATTCAGGGTGACAGAATAACTCAGTGTAGCAGTACTAGTAAAATAGGGTTTGCTGGGGCTGGCAGGTAGCATGGTAGTTAAGGGTGCTGGACTCCCACATGGCTGACCAAGGTTCAAGTCCTGGACTTGGCGGCTTGGTTTCTCGCTTTCTCTCTCTGTCTCTCTCTCTCTGTCCCTCTCTGGTCAAGTTAAAATAAATAAATAAATAAATAAATAAAAGTTAAAAAGATAATAATTCTAAAGAAAAAGGATTTGCTGAGCACTGTTACTGTGAGAAGCTCACACTTAAGCACATTTTATTAACTGAAACATGCTTGATAACCCTGCACAGTTGTGCTTTTATCTGCATTTCCAAGCAAAAGTTCAGGGAGAAGAGTTGACTTGCTCAAAGTCAAGGATTGCAACCCAAGTCTGCTTGCTTTGATCTTTCACTGCATACTTTTTACAACACTGCTATTTCAATTTTCAAATTTGTTCATGTTCCAATTTTATTGATTTTTTTTCATACTGTGGGTGTACTTCTGAGCACACTAACATTCCCTCGCACTGAATTAAATAAACTAATATCCACCTGCATACTACTTTGATAGTAACTATCCCAATTAAAAACTCCTCTACAATTGAACAGGAAAGTAACTTTGACTACTTTAGTTAAAACAAAATTGCTGCATTTTATTTGTTCATTTTTCCCCATTTTCTTCTTTATTTAAGTGAAACAGTAAAATTACAAATAGGACCCAAGTTCATCTTGAACCTGAATTGATTTCCTAGGCGCGAGGTACTTTAAACTGTTAGTTTGTAATCTTAATAAACCTTAGAATCAGGGAAAGAAAAAAATAGAAGAAGAAGAAATAAAAGAATGTTTCTTACTTTCCTCTAGTTGTCTCAAAACTTGGTTTTTGATAGCTGGTTCTCTGGCTTGGAATACTGTCACCTCTGCTGAGGTATGTCTGCCGGGGGGATCGATTCCCTATGCTTCCAGGTGAGTTTAGAGAGGCTGCTTGTTGATTTGGCTTTTTGGCAAAGCTTTGAAGAAATTTCATTGTAGAGTTGGAAAGGACCACCGACTTTGGTCCAGGATTGAGTTTGATGGTTGGTGGAGTGGAGAAGGCAAGTTTTTTTCTGTCTTCTTCTGTCTTCTCTGTGGGCGTGAGATTGGGGTTTCCCCCAGTCTCATCAGGAGCATTGGTCTCTAAGGGAAGTCCCGTTGACTTTCCATACCTTTCTCCAGGAGTTCTTGCTTCAGGAGTTGTGGCTATCTCAGCTGAGGTGATCTGAAGGGCTGGCAGTGTTTGGAGACTTTGTATTTTAAGTGGAGGAACTGAAGCAGAAGACATAGTCTTCTGGGAGTTTCCATCCTCAGGTGTAGTCCAAGAATGCTCAGTGTTGTTAAGCCCAACGCCTCCAGTCCATAAACTACAAAGTAGGACAAATAATTTTGCTCCCTTCATCTCAGTAATATGAAGCAAGAAAACCCAGGTGAATTTGGGGGACAAAGTTCTTTCAGCTTTTTCCACAGCTGCTTCCACACTGAATCTGCAGAGACAGAGCTCTGCCAATTTGAGATGTGTCGAGGAAACAAGTTTCTGTGTTTTGCAGTGGACTTAGGAAGTTTGATTTCCTGTTTCTGTAGGTTTTTTGTGATCTTTGACCTCTGGTAGGATGACTCTATGGAAATGGTAGAGAGTCTCTGGTGAAGCTAAGGGCAAGCAGGAAAACATAGTCAATTATCATCAGGAAAAACCAAGAGAAAAACATGAAGTCCCTTTCCTTTCCTAAGTACACTCACACTCATGTTTCATGTTCTACTGATTTCCAAGAGGAACTTCATGTTGATGATGGGTTGTGAGGAATTTGTTTGCATAGGTTGAATGGAAGAATTTAATGTACTACATGAAGAAATGAAGAAACATACCCACCCTATTTCTTTTCCACTGTGCCCTGACTAGAGCACCACCTTTCATTCAAATGCGTATCCACATACACACACATAAAAACTTGAAGTGTCTCTCTCCTCTCATATACCACAAGCTCAAGAATGAAAAAAATATAAATATTAGAATATGCATATAAAATGTGTGTCTTCCTATTTTTATACATTTCAGTGAATTTTTATTTGAAGTTAATGTCAATGATGTTATGTAATAAAAAAGGACAGCATGAATAATTAAATTATACAGTTTACAGGGAATCATTTTAAATATTGCTCTTAAAACTTCTACCACAGATACAAAGTAATGCCATAAATAATCAGAATTTGCTGTCTCTATTTTCCAATCCTAATTTAGTGGCTGAGGTAAATGATATTTTACCCTTAGGAATAGTGAAGAAAAAGTGGAATCACATAAAAAGAATATAAAATGGGATCAGATATAATGCTCTTATACCTTTGCTGCAAAAGTATACTAGTTGTAGGAAACAGAGCATTAAATTGATCAAAGAGTTTTCTGTGGCTGTTTTTCTAGTGGAGATGTATCAAGGGATTTATGATTTCATTTCTCCGGCAAATCTCTGATGCCCAAGCTTCAATTAACCTCTTTTATGTTAGGATTCCATAGCAGATGCTAGACAGATACATAGTAAACTATAGAAGTTCATTCATTCATTCATTCAGTCTTCAGTAAGCAATTACCTCAATCCTCAGTTTGTTAAAGGCACTGTCTTAAGTGCTGGAATTATAAAGGAAAGAATCTTCTAGACTGTCAGTTTGCTTATGGTCTCCTACAACTGAAAAATGGGAAATCTAGTGTTTGTTCCTATTACTGTAAATAATGTGCTTTTGTCTCTAACCTTGGGCACAGAGCTCTTGAGATTTGAAAACACACCATTTTTTTTTTCTGAACTACTAATTACTCAGATTTGATGTATTTCGTGCTCTTCAATCTTTGCCATTCATGTCTACGAACATACTGTTGACCTATTAGAGAGTATAAAATATGGGGTTGTTATTAAAGTAAGGCATACAATAATTGATAATGCAAACTGACTTTGATATAGAGTACAAAGCATCAGTTTCTCAGATACACCATAGAACAAGTCAGAAACCACACATCGCTCCAACACAATCTAACAGCAACTAGTTACGAAGAGAAATGAAACTGCATAATTTTTACAATACAAACATGGCTTTCAATACTAAGAAAAAGACACCACAGCTTCTTTACCTGAAAAAAAAAAAAAAAGATCCAACTAGCTTTGGTTTAAAGCAGAATAGTAATTTGGTAAAATACTTCTATTTAGTGTACAGTTTTAGATCTAGTGAAAGCAGATGAAAACTGTTTTGAAATTTAAAAACCACTTGAATAGTGTTTGTTGTTTGTTTTTTCTCCCATAATTTGAAAGATCACTTTGTTCCTGGTCAAAGCAAGTGAACTCAGTGGTAAAGGGTTGTCCATTGGGTCTACAACTGATAGCAATAAATATCAGATAGTAATAAAAACGGAATTGAACTGAGCAATTCAGCTCACCTCTTGTAAAGTATTGACCAATAATGACTTTTTCTCACTCCCATCCTAGTTTACAAGTGACCTTGTGATCAAAAGGCTAAAGGTTCTGTATCTTATTATTGATCTACTAAGTTATCTTGTGCTATAACTCCCTAGAGAATCCCTCGCTCATTTGATGGTTTTAGGTGTATGGATCAGCATTTAATTGAAGACATAAAGTATTTGTACTCCAGAAACTGTCAGAGGCCTAACCGCAAGTTATGCTTTCTGAGACTAATTGATTCTCATCAAATAAAAATTAAGAAATAATATTCCTGTGATGACAGACTAAAGAATACTCAGGTCATTTATTGTTTTATATACTCTACATACTATTGGATTAAATGACACCGTCAGTTTTGAATACTCCATTCCCGTACTAAAGTTCCATTCCCCACTAAGTGTTTATATTACGTTTTAATCATAGTCCACTTATTTACTCTGAATGTTTAATAAAGAAGAAAACAAGAAACTTACTGTATTATGTGCTACGATGAGAAAGAATTTTTTTGTTAAGTTTGACAGAGGGCACATATACTCACTGGAGAGCAACTGGGGCCAGGGAGAGTGAGAAAGCACCCTCTCATGGGGCATGACCACACTGCAATCCCTTCTCCTTCATTTATCACTCCCTGTAGGATTTTGGACATCCACTAACATGTGCCAGGTGTATTTTTTCAAGCCACCATGTCTGGGACTTGAACTTCATGGCTGTCCATGTGAGAACCACCTCCCTTAATACCAGATCATGGGCTATGGGAGGTTTATTCTGAAACTATCACAGACACATTAGCATCATAAACCAAAGTCTAAGAACTGTATAGGAAAGGATAATGAAACATTATGACGTTAGAAAATTCTAAGCTATTCAAATGAATTAGTATCAAGAATAAAATTTAGTGGGTTGTCAGGAAAGGGAATATAAAAGTATAATGAATGATAGAGTTATTAATATTTAGTGAGAGAAGCATATTAGTTGTCAAAAAAAAATAAAACAGATAAGGGTAGTTCAAAAAAACTTTAAAAAAGGCCACTCCATGGCCTGGTGGTTAAGGTGCTTGGATCCCACATGGCCAACTGCAAGATTCCAAGTTCTGGACCTGATAACTCAATATACACTAGGTATGCCCAAAATCCCCCAAAGAGGAAGAAATATAGGAGAATGGATTGTGGGTGTTTTCTCACTTTCCCTATTTCTCTGGTGAATGCATACACTATCTTTTTTTTTTTTGGGGAGGTTTTTCTTATAGGCGGGG